GGCCGATCTGTGATTATGCATAAATATAAATATGTATATCATCTGATTTTATATGTTTTACATTTTCAACTTTTAACAACAGCGAACAGCCAGCTGACATGTTGTCAAAACTTGGTTCGTTATAAATTTGGATGACGAATGAATTTTCGGGGTAATCACAAAGGATGCTCTGCTGAATGATTAACTGCTAGGTAAACAGAGCTTAGCTGGCTGGCAGATAACAGATGCCAGTTGCCCCTTGCCCGTCCCCCGCTTCCCGCTCCCCGTTGCCAGGCTGTGCTGGCGCCCAGTCCTGTAACTGTAACTGTAACTGTAGCTGTAACTGTGACTGTGACTGTGCCTGTGGCAGCAATTTAATGCAACATTTTGTGGCAGTCATGACTTCATCGACTCAAATTGAATACTCGTTCGTATATCAAAAAGCGAACTGTGCCACAAGCTGACGACCGTAACTGGCAATTGGATTTGTTGTCAGTTGACATTTTGGTAAGGACATGCTACATGCTACATGCTGCATGCCACATGCCACATGCCATATGCAGGCGAACGGGTAATAAAACCTTAGCAGCCAAATATGCCTGACTATGTGATGCCCTGTAGCAGTTGACAATAGTCTCGGACGTAGACTCTTTAACTACCATCGATTCGAGGTAAGATATTTAGATATATATAAGGGGAAGAGTTAAGTGTACTTAGGGGAAAGAGTTTTCCGACTATCCACGACTAAACTCTAGCCAAAGTTTCATTTAAATATATTAACATCATCAATATGAGCTCAATATGAACTGAGTTATTTAGATACGAGATCAGGCAGTTATTTCTATAAAGCTGGGAATGCACTATAGGAAAAAAACCCGAAATTTTGGCATAAATACTATTTTTTTTTTTTAATCAATTTTCATACTTTTTTTTATTTTCCAATAATAAATAATATAAAACGAATTAAAAAAAAATCCTAGCTCTATTTTTAGAATTTATGCCAAAATTTTGGGGTTTTTTTCCTATAGTGGAATGGAGCGAGCATAGGGAAAAGAGTTCTGCTATTGCCCATGATCACAGTCCGACCAAAGTATTCAAAAAGTATCGATTATCAGCTCTATCTCTATGCCAGCTGACTGTTCAGCAATCTACCCGTTTTTCACTTCATGTACAGGGTATTAACACACAGTGACATATGTATATTATCATTACGGTCGACTGCATAAAGCAGAGCGAAGCCAAAATTTTGCAGTCGAATGGCCGCAACAGTGGAAAATAAACTACAAATACCCTGTACTCAAAAATGAATGTCAATAAAAACAAAATTGGCATAGAAATAATTGATATTTTGTAGTTTGCGATTCGCTGAAACTGATGAATAAAATCGCAGGTTTTGGTATACCCCATGACAAACACCGAAAAAGAATGAGAGAGAGTGGGTGTGGGGAGCGGAAGAGTGAGAGAGCGATAGCGAGCTCAATAAAAGTTGTATTCCAAAATTTTTATTTTCCAGTTTATTGTTGTGATTCGTCTTCTTCTTCTTCGTGTTGTTGTTGTCGTTGCTCAACTTCAATATGAGTAAAAGCAGCCCTCGGGGACATACGTATTGGGTAGCTCGCATGCATTGAATTGATTGCCTACTTTCTGGGGCGAGCTACCCGACTGAAAGTAGCGGTTGATGGATGCTAAGGCAATTCAACACATTCAACATGCGAGCAAAATACACATATCCTTATAAATATAT